TCCTCCAAGTATAGCTTTTAAAGGAGATTATCCCGAGAACTGAGGTTCCATGGAGGATTTTGAGTGTAAGGACTGAAACTTTGAATATTACTATGTAGTCAACGGAAAATAACTCAGGGCAGGATCACTTGGAGTTGTCCTCATGAGGAATCTGTGTTCCTGAGTAAGTGACCATTTGCATTGTGAAGCAATTGAAGCTGTGTTTTAAAGACTGAGGTTTAAGCTCCTATGCATTGCTCCCAGCTCCTATGCATTGCTGTGGTCAAGTCTGGATGTCACAAATGCATGGATCACGCTGGCAGAGATGAAGTCTGGTAGGATGGGATACAGACGCCATACTGGCAGGTGGAACATGTCATCCAGTAGTACAAGAGGAATTCAAAAGGATTCCTAGGTGGTGGAACATCATGATAATCTTCAGGTCGACACAGCACAGAGTGGGGAAATTTACATGATCAGTGCCAGTGTTGTAGTCACTATTGTTCTTTTACTGTTATTTGTATAGCACCATATGTGGGCCAGGTGTTTTATGAACAAATGCAAATATGGTCCATGTTGAAGAGTGTACTACTTAAACTCAGCAATAACCTAGATAGTGGTGGGAGAATGACACAGAAGAGTTAAAAAAAAATCTTGTGGTTGCTTTGCATAGTTAAAAATCTATCATCTTGCAGGTTTCATAAATTTTGTCCTTCACGTTATACATGTTAGTAGCAGCACAGGTTGTAACACCAATAGGAAAGGTTGTCTGACAATTTCCATTATAAGACCCTATTTTCATTTACTTATCATGTCGCCAAACTTAAAACATTTTAACTGAAATTTTCCACGCAGGGTATCTGCCCCAGGAAGATTTTTTTTTTTCATGGAGGAGGGGGAATTTCAACCTTAATGTTTCACCAATTTCTTAGAATGAGGTAAGCGTAAAATACACTGTTTTCATGGAATCACAGAAGATTAGAGTTTAGGGAAAGAGTGGGAAGAGACCTCAGGAGGTCATCTAGTCCAAGCCCCTGCTCAAAGCAGGACCAATCCCCAACTAAATCATCCCAGCCAGGGCTTTGTCAAGCCAGGCCTTAAAACCTGTAAGGATGAAGATTCCACCATCTCCCTAGGTAACAATTCCAGTGCCTCACCACCCTCCAAGTGAAAAATTTTTCCTAATATCCAAACTAGACCTCCCCCACTGCAACTTGAGACCATTGCCCCTTGTTCTGTCATCTGCCACCACTAAGAACAGCCGAGCTCCATCCTCTTTAGAACCCCCCTTCAGATAGTTGAAGGCTGCTATCAAATCCCCCCTCACTCTTTCTTCTCTTCTGCAGACTAAATAAGCCCAGTTCCTTCAGCCTCTCCTCATGTGCCCCAGCCCCCAAATCATTTTTGTTGCCCTCCGCTGGACGCTCTCCAATTTGTCTACATCCTTTCTGTATAGGGGAGCCCAAAACAGGACACAATACTCCAGATGTGGCCTCACCAGTGCTGAATAGAGGGAAATAATCACTTCCTTCAATCTGCTGGTGCTGCTACTATTAATGCAGCCCAGTATGCCTTAGTCTTCTTGGCAACAAGGGCACACTGTTGACTCATATCCAGCTTCTCATCCACTGTAATCCCCAGGTCCTTTTCTGCAGAATTGCTGCTTAGCCAGTCAGTCCTCAACCTCTAGCAGTGCATGGGATTCTTCCATCCTAAGTGCAGGACTCTTCACTTGTTCTAGTTGAACCTCTTCAGATTTCTTTTGGCTCAATTTGTCTAGGTCACTCTGGACCTATCCCTACCTGCCAGCATATCTACCTCTCCCCCCAATTTAGTGTCATCCGCAAATTTGTTGAGGGTATAATCCATTCCCTCATCCAGATCACTAATGAAGATGTTGAACAAAACCGGCCCCAGAATAGACCCTTGGGGCACTCCGCTTGATACCAGCTACTAACTAGACACTGAGTCATTGATCACTATCGGTTGAACCCGACGATCTAGCCAGCTTTCTATCCACCTCATACTCCATTCATCCAATCAATATGTTTTTAACTTTCTGGCAAGACTACTGTGGGAAACTGTATCAAAAACTTTGATAAAGTCAAGATATATCACGTCCACCACTTTCCCCATATCCACAGAGCTAGTTATCTCATCATTGAAGGCAATCAGGTTGGTCAGGCATGAGTTGCCCTTGGCGAATCCATGTTGACTGTTCCTGATCACCTAACTCTCCGGCAAGTGTTTCAAAATGGATTCCTTGAAGACTTGCTCCATGATTTTTCCAGGGACTGAGGTGAGGCTGACCAGTCTGTAGTTCCCCGGATTCTCCTTCTTCCCTTTTTTAAAGATGGGCACTATATTTGCCTTTTTCCAGTCATTCAGGACCTCCCCCGACTACCACAAGTTTTCAAAGATAAAGGCTAATGGCTCTGCAATCACATTAGCCAACTTCTTCCACACCCTCAGATGCATTAGATCTGGCCCTATGAACTTGTGCATGTCCAGCTTTTTTAAATAGTCCTTAACCTGTTCTTTCACCACTGAGGGCCGCTCATCTCCTCCCCACACTGCGCTGCCCAGTACAGCAGTCTGGGAGCTGACCTTGTCTGTGAAGACCGAGGCAAAAAAAGCACTGAGTCCCTCAGCTTTTCCCACATCATCTGTCACTAGGATGCCTCCCCACACTTTCCCTGACCTTTTTCTTGCTGCTGACATACCTGCAGAAACCCTTCTTATTACCCTTCACATCCCTTGCTAGCTGCAACTCCAATTGTGCTATGGCCTTCCTGATTACAGCCCTGCATGCTTGAGCAATATCTTTATACTCCTCCCTAGTTATCTGTCCAAGTTTCCACTTCTTGTACGCTTCCTTTTTTTGTTAAAGCTCACCGAAGATTTCTCTGTTAAGCCAAGCTGATCTCCTCCTATATTTGCTATTCTTTCTGCACATCGGGATGATTTCTTCCTGCGCCCTCAATAAGGCTTCTTTAAAATACAGCCAACTCTCCTGGACTCCTTTCGCCCTCATATTAGCCTTCCAGGGGATCCTGCCCATCAGTTCCCTGAGGAAGTCAAAGTCTGCGTTTCTGAAGTCCAGGGTCCACATTCTGCTGCTCTCCTTTCTTCCTTTTGTCAGGATCTTGAACTCAACCATCTCATGGTCCCACCCACTTCTACTTCCCCTACTAATTCTTCCTTGTTTGTTAGCAGCAGGTCAAGAGACGTATGGCCCCTAGTTGGTTCCTCCAGCACTTGCACCAGGAAATTGTCCTCAACACTCTCCAAAAACTTTGTTGATGGTGTTTAATTTTCTCCCTCAGTCTTTTCATTGAAAAGCTCTAGTGCCCTTCTGGTTTGCAGTAGGGACTTGAAATTGGGCAGATGGGTAATTCTGGTATCAGGGAAGTACCCTTTGCTCTTCCTATGAAAATCTGCCAGATGGGCCCAGTTATAAGCCTTTGAAAAAAATCTATTTGCACATGATCAGTAGAGACATGGTAGAGTTTGGCTGCTAAATTCTCCAAAGATTCTGGTCTGTTCCCGGAATGCTCCATCCCAGGGATGCAGAGGCTGAGCATGACCTTCCCTGAAATTGCACTTACTGGCAGCCTGGGACAGCTGTGGTGCCAAACACTGAGAGTGGAAAGCCTGTCTGTCCCGTGCCACCACTGCTCTGCATGGTGGTACACCAGCCAAAAATGAGGATGAGGAAGCAACCGGCCTGCAATGCAGAGGGATGAGGTATGGGGCGGGAGGGGGCGGAGTAGAGAAAATGCTGTTGGGGGGAAGACAAGAGAGGTTCTTTGGTTGTAGGAGTCTGTGGGTAGGAGTAAGATCCAGGAGGTGTGGATGGGACAGGACTGGAGGGAAGTGGGAGAGGGGCAGGAATCATGAAGTTGGGAAGGATGAAAGCAGGCGGGGCCCAGGTGCAGGAGCCAGGGAGGAGGAATGGTCAGGAGCTGAGAGGGATTGCAGGAGGCTGAGGGACAGCGGCAAGAGCTTAATAGGAGCTTCAGCAGTGTTGGGTCCGTGTGACTGATGTTATGAAGCTGAGAAGTTGTCAAGTTTCTTACCACTGATACCTGATTGCTAGCCATGGCTGGATCTACATCCCATTCTTATGGGGTACAGGAATACTTTATAGGCCATTTCTGGAAGGGAGAGTAGGTAGGAAAGTAGGTTGCCTGGTGGCTGAATTGACTGTGAGGTAATCATTGGTGATATTGAAATGCCAGCAGTGATTCTGGAAGACCAGCCTACCCCGGCTCATGCAGCTTTACACTGGCCACCGCAACAGTACCAGAACAGAAAAGATTCAACTAACAGCTCAGCAGGTACAGAATGACAGTTGAATGCACATTTGGTAGACTGAAGGGGTGCTGGCGGTGTTTCCTCACTAGTTGGGATGTCACTTTGAAAAAACATCCCAACGGTTGTAGCTGCCTGTTGTGTCCTGCATAATATCTGTAAGGCAAAGGAAGAAAAGCTGCTGCCAGAGCAGAGATGGAATGGCTGTCTGCTGACATTGAACAACCAGACACAAGGGCTATTAGAAGATCCCAATGTGGAGCTGTGTGCTTGAAGGAGGCTTTGAAAGAGAATTTTAACAGTCAGCTACAGCACTGTTCTCTTCTGCTTTCATGGAATTGTGTCTATCTTGTGTAATCTACATTATTTATAGGTGAGTCTTTGCCGGCTGGTACCCATTCCATTGGGTGCTGCTGTGAATTGTGGTGTTCTTGCTGTACATTTCTGAATATGGCTAGGAGTTCTCCTGAAGCCATGATTTTTGTGGTGCTTGGTGTGCATTTACAAGTACAGTTTGTTTTCTTGAATACCACTATACATTGTGCATTATTTGTTGTGTTGTAATAAAGATAACTTGAGTCTCCAAAAATAGTACCTTCTTGAGTGTGTGTGGGGAGAGGGGGGTGGGGGAGAGAACCTACAGAAAAGCAATGTGAAAAAGACAAAAATGTTATACACAATTTTAACATAATTTAAAGGAGTTAGAATTTAAATTTTAAAAGGAAGTAAACATTTATGTCTGTTTGTGTAAACACATGTTGTCAGTTGTGGCTACACACACACCACTTATGGTTCTCATGGGTCAATGTATGTGAAGCAGTAATTTTCTTGATGTCCCCCGGTATGGAGTGGTGGGAGCAAGGATGCAGGCTGCAGTACCAGAATATGATATATTGGGTTGTGTACAGAACAGTGACCGTGAATTTCTCCGTGGACTGCAAAGGGACTCCAAGGATGGCAAAGGATAGAGTTACCTGTAGGTCCATCAGGGTCTGCAGCATTTGGATTTGCTGCCTGTCAAGACCCATTTTGCATTTCCTGCTCCTTGTCCTGCTGGGACCCCCAGGACTTTTTCCTGTTCTGAATTTCTCCATGCTGCCTGTCATATTGACCCTCCATATCCTTTGGTCATGGCCTGATGCATTGCAGGATCTCACAGAATATGTCCTCCCTAACCCTCTTCTTTCTCCTCCTCATCAGGGTCAAGTATTCTGCTGGTGTGGAGGGTGTACCCTGCAAGGCCACCATGCCAGAAGCTGCTGATAAAAACAGACAGATGCACCATTAGATTTAGAGTCACAAGAGAAAGAAAAATGTAAGTTTCAAAGCTCCCTTCCCTTACTCCCATAAATACTTTTGTTAAGAAATGCTTCTTAACATTCAGCTTTGGGATGCCTTAGCATGACATCTCTTTCTAGTGCCAGCCCCGTTGGACAGACTGGCAGGGCAACCTTTTTTCCCCCTTTCTTGTCCTTTAATAGTGTTATATGGAATCCTGTGGGTGAGAGTGAATGGGTTGTGAAACAAATAAAGGAGGTGTGAAGAGCATGTACATATCTTTTCTCTGCCAACTGCACAGTTACTGAAGTGTGTGTAAACAGGCCATATTGGGGCATTAGTGAAATAGGGCAGAGCTCAGGTTGCATGGGCACCCTTAACTTTGCATGTCCTGGTATTCAGACATTTGAATTTTACTCAACTCAATGTTCTGCAAGGGGATGACATGCCATCAAGCCATCTTAACTCTGAATTAACTTAGTTATTTGCCACTTCAACCGACTAGCCTAGTATGTTTACCCCTTGCCTACATTCCTGACTTTTCCTTACCTACCCTCACAAATCCAAATATAATGCAAACAACAAGACACTTTCCATGGGGCTTTGAATCTAACTACATAATATTTTTAAACACTGCATTTTAGTTCACATTGTCTCTCCGCTACAATTTTTTTTTTTTTTTTTTGCTTGTTAATGCCACTGTTTGTTCTTATGCTTCTTATTTTTGTCTGAGTGCAACTCTTAATTGGTATATTCACTGAGGTGCCTTCTCCCAAGGGTGTACTATTATGGAGAACAGTTCAATAATCGCTAATCAAATGTCTTTTGAACAAAGAGCTTGGTACCTTTAAACTAGATTAGGAAATTTCTGAACAAGTGTGTAATATTAAACAATGTGGACTGGAGAATCAGACTGAAAGCTATCGCAAAAAATATACCAAAATCCAGTCTGTGGTGTTTTATATTTTCTGATGCTATAATATTGCAGAATTTCATTAACTGTGCATTTCTGCATTTGATTGTTCCATTGCCTTAAAGTAGCTGCATTTTCACACCAGTGTTGTTTCTGATCCCAGAGCAACAGGGTACATTTTTGAGGGAGGAAATAAAAGAAAGAAGGGATGTGATCATTTTTCAGAAATAGATCCTCTTATGGAAGGATATTCAGTACTGGATATTCTCCAATTTTCTCCATTACTGTTTGTGGCAGTAAAAGTAGTGCAGTAGCTCAAAAATAATAGCAGTATTCCCCTTTGCTGAAACTGATCTGCTGTTTCTTGCTAAGAAGGCAAAAAAAAACCTGACTAGTGAAGTATCTGTCTAAGTATCCACAAATCTAGTGCTTCTGCATAAAAGGATGTCATCAAAACCAAATAAACTCTCATTGAAAGTCGTTCCATGAAACCAATACCATTGTTGGATTCATTGTTTGGTCGCTGGTGTCAATTTTCCTTTTTCTTTGTTGTCGCTTAGTTCCCATTTTTGTTTTTTGTTTTTTTCTGGGGTGGAGGGGTAGAGACGGGGTGTGTGTGTGTCTGTGTATGTGTGTGTACGTATAAGATATTCTGAACAGGAAGAGGAAAGCTGAGTTGCTGACCAGGTTATTTAAAGAGTAAATGTCATTTAAAATTATTTGATGCTCAGCCTCTTTCTCATGCTTTCTCAAAGAGCTCTATACCATCCTGCATCCCCTTTAATTAAGTGGCACTCCATGGGGAAAAACAATCCTAGCTGAAAAATACCCTTTGAAGAAGGCTCTCTCTCTTTATATTGGTGGAAATTTTATCCTGGTTCCTGAATTTGAGAGTTGAGCAAAATCCACACTATGAATTTTCTACCTACATAATCACAAAGAAAACAGTGTCCTGTTAAAGCTATCAAATGTTAAATTCAACCACATTCTGTTGGAGTTATACAGGTTTGCGATCTTTAACTATTTTTTAATGTATTTTCTTCCCTGGCTCATATTTGTCCATAATTAACAAGTCTTTCATCTTTTTATTTATTTTAAATAGAGTTGGAAGTGGGGAAAACCCAAAAAGCATTTACACAACCCCAAAGGAAGCTGGAGGTGAAGATGAAATTATATTATTGTAGCAGGGTGCTGCTGCAAAAGCATCTAATTAGCCCCTGCTCAGCCAGCTCCAATCAACAGAAATAGATTGGAGCTGGTGTAACAGGCATGATGCCTGGCCTGGGGATTGGCTCCACCTGTGGGCCTGACAGGCCAACAGTTATAAGGGCTGGGAGCCAGTATGAAGGGGGACTGCCAGGACTACTCAGTCTCCTGGCTATGGGCTGACTGCTAGCCAAAGAGGGAACGAACCCTGTAAGCCTTGTAAACAGCTCAACGGGTGGTGGGAGAACTGTTTGTGTAAATAAAGCCACAGCTGCTGCATAACCTCTGCAAAGCCTCTCTGAGCTTTATTGGGGTGGTCCACCAGGCCCCAGGAAGAGAGGCAGGCAGTGGACCTTATTACAATTATTATATACTACTTTCTTTTTGAACTACAACGTTATGTTCCTGTTAAGCTGAAAATAAACATCTTGTAGGATAAGAAGATTGAATATGCCGTTTTCTAGAAATACATTTCCATAGCAAGATATCCGCTAAAAACAATATATTGTATACCATGCTTATACACTAGTACTGTACCATGAAGAGCTCCTTGACCAAATATAGCAGCTGGTTTGGGAGAGTGTAATCTTGCACATATCTAATATGCAGATATTTTTAAAGTGCACATAGTATTTGTATAAAACTCTAGTAGTATTATGAAATGACTTTTTCATTGTAAGTATGTAGTAGTTTCACTAACAAAAGATCTGATCCATTGCCCACTGGAGTCAATGGAAAGATTCCTGATTACTTCAGTTGTGATTGGGTCAGACTCAAAGGCTCCGGACCTGTTAATAGGCATATAGGCAACTTTGTGCATGTGAGCAATCCCGTAGCGTATCCCAGGTAAAAGAAAATACAACAAGCATTGTTCTGTTGCTGCCTGATGCCAGCTTCTGGGTGTCATCTTCCCTTCCTGAGTCCCCAACTTCTTGGTGGACTGTCACATCTGAAAACATCTTTTTGGGCACTGGCTTCTTCCCCAAGTTGTTGTGCATTATTACATCTGATTGAAACTCAAAATTCCTATCCCATAGGTAATTCTGAAATAATAAAAGTTTTGATTCACAACAAAAATTGGAAGTTTCAGATTTTTTCAACAGTAATTCTGAAAAAAGTTTCAAAATTTGAAAATGTTTTGTGCTTTCAACATGAAATGTTTCAAATTTGACCTTTACGTTAAATTTAATGGGTTTTTTTACTTTTATATTTTACTAGTATTTTTTCAATATTATTTTTATTTCTAAAATCATTCAAAACAACTGTTGTTCTATTTAGTACTGAGTGAGCATCTTGTCTTATTTCCTTGTTCACCAGACTGCTGAAGAGCTGGGATTCTGCCAGGAAGACTGCTGAAACTGGAAGCCTGGAGCCTGGGCTCTGTGGCAGCCTACTTTGTGCATTGCTGCAGGGCCAGGGAACCATGATGCCTGTGAGTCTAGGTCCCCTGGAAATCTGCCTTGTGGGCTGTTGCAGAGTAAGGAACCTGGAAACCATGGGAATTTGAAAGGAATTGGCATGTTTGTGTGGAACTTTCTGATCCTGTCAAATCTACATTTGCTGATGGAAAACTGTTTTATTGAAAAATTTCTGACCAATTCTGCTCAGTATCTTGTAGCAGCAATGAAATTTTGGTACAGCTGTAGTGAGCTCTGGTCTGAAATAGCTTGAACCTGATGATCTTCCAGGTGTATTGCAAAAGCCACACAAGGACTGGGGGAAGACTGAGGGTAATTTGCTCAAGGGTTTAAAGAGGCTGTGTTGCTTCCATTAATGGAAGTTAATTGATTGTTTGTGATTATTTTATTGCTGCTGGGTGATCATCATTTGTGATTGTGAGTGTAACTTTTATGGGTTACATACTGTGATGGGTTCTCCCTGGGCTGCCACCTGGAACTGGGGTGCCACTGTGAGCCCTTTGACTCACCAGCCTGAGCTCCCTCTTATCCTGTGCTGCTGTGACAAGCTGAAGAGCTGCTCCTGGTCCTACACTTCCACCAGCATTCACACAGGTAGGGACGCTCAGCTGCAGTTACATGTAGGATCTCTGACAAGCCACTGCATGAACCAACAATAGAGAGGCTACAGCCAAAATAATTACCAGCTTCCCAGTCTAGAACCCCAGAGCTGTACCGTCCTGCCCTGGTCAAAACCCTGACCATTATGAATTTATTATCCAGTTCACCTCCTCCTCAATGTGGAGAGGAAATACAACAGTCCCTTGAGCTAAGATTCCCAAGCACTTAATCTAAACCAGTAAGTTTAGAGTGAAAACATAAAATAGGTTTATTAACTATAAAAGATAGATTTTAAGTGATTATAAGGGCTAGCAAACAGATCAAAGCAGATTATCTAGCAAATAAACAAACACAAACTAAGCTTAACATACTAGATTGGATATGAATTCGCAGTCTTTCCCCTTGACTGATGATGATACAAGCAGGCTTGCAGATTTTTAATGGACTAGCTGCATTTGCATTTGTTATAACATTAATACATACTCTTCACAACTCAGAGATAGATGAGACCCAAACTGGGTCTCTCTTACGGCCTGCTGCCATTATAGGTTTTCCCTTCTAATGGGAGTATGGTATGGTAGATCTCAAATCAGTGAAGGCTATGCTCAGAAAGACCTCAAGACTTGGGGGTGAAAATAACTGAAAGGACTTACTGGTACCCCGGAGTCCTGAGCAGGGGGCGTGGCCTCAACTGAGATTTAAAGGGCCCTAGGCTCCAGCTGTGGTAGTGGTGGCTGGGAGCCCCAGGCCCTTTAAATCACTGCTGGAGCTACCAACTGCAGAGGCGGCTGGGAGCCCCGGGGTTTGGGGGGCATTTAAAGGGCACAGAGCTCTGGCCGCT